GTAGAAGTGTTGTAAGACTGCAGGGTGGCCGTAACATTCACTAGGTCAACAGACAGTAGTAGAAGTGTTGTGATTCCACGATTGGCTTGTAGCTTTCTCTAGGTAGAGTTAGACCCTAGCATGATGGGTTAGGAGACTATGGGTGGGCCACAACATTCATATGATTAAGGAAGGTTGTAGGCCAGTTTGGGGATGGTTGTGATGTAAGATTACTGATGGGCTGATAGCATTCACCTAGAATGTAATGGACTATCTAACGTTCACATGATGGTTTGTTAAGTTGTCACTAGTTGAATATGAGGGCTGTTAGAGCTATATTGGAAAACAAGCTAAGATAACTTTTGTCTGGTAGACTCTTGGTTGGAGTCTCGTGGTATGTCATGTGGGAGGCTATTAGCTACAACAATTAGTTTGAAATCCAGTACTTCAGTTAAATGGCAGGTCCGTATGAGACCAGGGAGATCTTAGATGGATCAAACATGTAAATTTTGGTTAACAGGATGGGATTTGTATGTTGGTATGGCATCAACAGTTGAGTTTGTGTTAGAAATTGTTTTCATATTCAGGTACAAGGTTACCGACATCGGTGAATGGTCAAGAATGTTGTTTTCTAGTACAAGTGGAACAATTCAGGGACGGAGGGTTTTTTTCCAGTTTGTGTTGCAGCGTAGACTCGTTAAGGTTGTGAATTGGAAAGGCCATGCTTGTCTGAAGGTCAAACATTGTTTAGGGTTTTCAGTTTTCGGGCAGAACAGTTGGAATTTTTCCTTAGTTGGTCGAGAGTGGAGGATTAAAGTTAGATTTTTTTCATGAGGATATGTGATCACTGCTAAGATTAGGGCTTTGATAGTAGAAATAGAAGACAATCGTCTGCACAAGAGGACTTCTTAGTACTGATTAGTATCCAAGAATTTTTGGCAGGGTTGTCGGGTGTGGTAGAGTAAGTTGTAAGCAATGACTTGAAGGACAAAATCTAATTTAAGTTGGGAAGAGTTGTAACACCTGTGTTCTAGATTGGTTTAACTTTATACTTACCAGGGGCTAAGATAGAGTTTCGAGAAAAACTCTATGCCACGACATGGCGCAAGGATGCCCACAGCGTGACATCGAATAAAGGGATCAAGTATTTTATTGGACCGCCACGGCATGGCCAAGGGTTCCCACGACGTGGAAGCGTTCTGGCCCAAGCCCATGATTATTTTAGGGATCCCTTCGTATTTAAACCCCTTTAAGTCATTTCTAGGGTTCATTACCAGCCTCAAACTCTCTTTTACCTCAAGGAAACCCTAGCCCTAATTCCCTTGGTGATTTGTGGCCTTTCGATCATTTTTTTAGCTTGGAGAAGAAGAGAAAAAGGAGAATAAGGTGCTCTATCGGCGGATATTGCAAAGAAACAAGACCATCAACATCTCACATTGCTTCTGAACCTTTGTAAGTGTCAAAGGCTCAAAATTTAGGGTTTAAAGTGGTTAGATCTAAAATATTATCCCATGTTCTTCATGTTTAAGCAAGTTTGAAAGGAAGGAACACATAAAGTTGGCAACTTTATGACTCTCCTGAGTCCCATGAGCAACATACATTATAGATCTAGACTTTGGTTGGGGTTCTTGAACTTGCATGAGTTTTTGGGAATTTTTAGCTCATTGACCTAAAATGGATTCTAGACATGTATTGGACATGCATGTCCATGAAGCTTCCACATTTATGATGGATCTGGTATTAGAAACCCTTCTAGAGTGGTTGGGTTAAGGACTTTTTCAGATTAAGGTCTTAATGGTTAAGACATTGTGGTTTTTGGCTTTATTTGGACCAAAAGCTCATAACATCCAAAACTAGCTAGATCTAACAAATGCATCATCAAGATTCAAACTTTATACCTCTAGAAGATAGATCAATGTGAACAAAGTCCAGATCTACAAGCTCCAATGCAACCAACACTTCTACAAGAAGTTCCTTCTTCTCTAAGGTGTACCATGCATACTCCAAAGCACTCAAAATCACCTTCTTTTAGCTCAAAAAGGCTCATCTAAGGTTAGGGTTTCATGAAAGGGTGTTGGAGGGGTGGAGGCTGAGAATGGAGTGGGTTGGGGGAGTTAAGGAGCTTAAATAGGGCTTAAACCACGAAAATAGGGTTTGGGAACTGACTGCGTATGCCCAACGTACTCCTGGTACGCCCAACGTACTCAGGATTCCATTAGTACGCCCATCGCACACCTTTTTGTACGCCCAACGTACTCAGCTTGGCCCAAAACCCCCCAAACTTCAAACGGTCATAACTTCTTCGTTCTAACTCCGTTTTCGACGTTCTTTATATCTACGGAAAGGTATTGAGGAGCTCTACAACCCTATCTAATTACTTTTGACTTAAAACACATCAAACTAAAATCCATAATTCATAAAAGAAGTCTGAAACACTACATTCCCATTTTACCCATTTACTCCAAAGTGCAAACCGAACTATTGGGTCACATATCTACATTACCCACATCTAAATGGGCCTAAATCTTACCTTTTTAAAGGCCCTAATCCTTATGATGACCGCTCTTCGGGCCACAACCTCAAATTAGGAATTGATTCGGAACAAGGCGTTACAATTCTTATGGATCCAAACCAAAATATCCCACCCACCCCGAACACCCCAAACACTCCAAATGATCCGTTAACTAATATTGGCTACATGCAATTGTTATCATCCCCCATTCAACAACAACCTCTATTCACCAATCTTTCATACCACCCACACTACTACCAACAACAACAACAATCAGAATTCGTTCAACCCCAATTTCAAGCCTTTCAACAACAACCTTCTCCGCAATTTCAACCCCAAACTTCCCAACGTCAACAAACTTCACAACCATCTCAAGTTCCATTTTCTCAATCTCAACCCGTAAACCTCGACAATGACGTCGACGACGAACGGGTTGAAGAAACACAACCAAGTCGTAGAAGGCAAAAAAATCAAAAGATCCAAGGAAAAATAAAAATACGCAATGGACCAAGGAGAAGGAAACTTTAGCTAAAACTTGGATTTTCATATCACAAGACGGGGATGTCGGCAACGCGCAATCGGGTCAAAGATTTTGGAATCGTGTTTTAGACCATTTCCACACATTATTAGGAAGGCAAACGAGTCGGACATACGACTCGGTCAATGCAAAATGGCGTGACCTTCGAGCGGCTTGCACCAAATTTAACGGCGTGTTTGAAAATCTTAAAAATATGCATCGAAGTGGTAGCAACTATTTTAACATTTTATCAACCGCGTTGTACCAATACAAAATTACCAACAATGGTAAACCGTTTGCCAACCAAAAAGCGTGGGAAGTTTGTCGCAATGGTCCAAAATGAGTCCTTTATCCGGAAACGACGCATTCGTGATCTACCACCTGTTCCAACAAAAGGCCGAGAACGTCCGAGTCAGACATTGGTGTTAACCTCGACCTCAATGATGAGTTCGACGCCACCGAGGGGGAGGGTCCACCGGACGTCCAACTTCGTCGACCACCAGGAATGGACAAAGTGAGAAAGAGGGCGTCTTCTAGCGGAAAATCAACAAACAATGACGTATTAGTGGAGAAAATCGACAAAACTCTAAATTTTTTAGAAATTTTTTTTTTGATTTAACGGAGGAACAACGTCGGCGACAATTGACACTCACCGATCTTTAAATTATAAACACGGTGCCGCAACCGAATCTCGACCCGAAAAATTTAAGGGTGTTTTTTAAAATTCAACAAGAAGTTCTCGACAAATATCGCAACTAGATTCTATGGTTTTTAATAATTTAGGTTTAATTTTCTATATTATTTTTATGTTTTTTTAGTATTTTAGTTTTCATTTTCTATGTGTTTTTATGTTTTTTTTTTAGTATTTTAGGTTTAATTTTCTATTTTTTAGGTTTAATTTTCTATGTTTTTTTAATTAATGTAATGTGGTTTCAATTAATATAAAATATTTAATTATGTTTTTATTTAATTTAATCATTAAAAAAAAAAAAATAGATAATCGTGGAGTGACGACAATTTCCTATATCTAGTGGGTTGGTGGTAAAACTGATGTGTCGTAGAGATGACACCACTTTTTGGATGGGTTGGTGGTAACGACTCCCTACAACCTAACTCAATCTGTTTAATAAAATGTCAGACCTATAAAATAAATACTGTTAGCAACATCCATGCCTACAAGAACCAATGGGATGACCACAAATTGCTTGTTGATGAGATTTAATACATAGAATCTACGAAAAGGTACAAACCCCGATTGCTACAACAAAGCAACAATCCATTACAAGATTGCACGATTCTAATACCACAACAATCATGATAGAAATCGAGATCACTAAAAGGAGGAATGCTTGGGTTCTATTACCAAATGGAAAATACAAATTCTGACAAATAGCCCAGGAGTGACTTTTAACGGATTGCCAGTGTTTGGATAGAGACTTGAATAAATACAAAAGCATCCTAGAAGTATGTACTAAGGAGCTTGTCCCATATAAGGTGGGTGTTTGGAAATTTTAGTGGTATCCTCTCTCTAATTTGTCAACATGGGCTTAGTAACTACATTTGTAAATCCGTAGCCAAGATCCTACATTTTTCATATTGGGGAGACTAGAGATTTTTGATATGGTAGGCTTAGATCAAAACACAAAATGATAAAAGAAATCAGGTCGGTAAAATTTTATTTATTTATTATTATTTTTTTTACAGTTGAAAGAAAAAAAATTCTCAAATAATCTATATTATTGCAATATTAAAAGTAAAAACAAAGATATTATAGTGCGAACTTTTAATAATTTTTTCAGTGAGATACTATATTTTGCAATTAGAACCACATGATAGGGACAAACTCAAGTCAACGTCAACCAAGTTTTGGACAAAGCTTCCATGGCAATCTTCTTTTATGATTAGTCGTCAGCTTTCATGACAATCTTTCACCATAAAAAAGAACACCTTAAATATCCTCTTCTTCAAAGCTTTCAATTCACTCAAAAAACGATGAACACCATAGCCAAAATCAAGAAAACGCAGAACACCATACATGCGGACTCCAATCATGTATCCACAGAATCTGGAGCTCTGATTGGTTCCAACGACGATCTTTTAATTGAAATCCTTCTTCGTTTGCCTGTTACTTCTGTTCTTCGATTCAAATCTGTATCCAAACACTGGTGCTCCCTTTTGAGTCACCGCCATTTTACCCTCCTGTATAAAAATGCTTCGTCCTCTCCTGGCCTTTTCGCTCACAATCTGTATATTCCATTTGATGATGAGAACCGAAGCACTCCTCCTTTTCGTGATCTCGACTTCTATCCTGATCCTCATGGTATTAGAATCGTGCAATCTTGTAACGGATTGCTGCTTTGTCGTAGCAATGAAGGGGACGAACGTGTGCGGAAATATTACGTATTTAATCCCACCACCAATCAATTTGCAGTCATCCCATCAGTTCTTGGAGGCATGGCTGTTCATAAAGCCATCTTTTTTATGGCTCTGGCATTTCATCAAACAGATTGTGTTCACTACAAGGTTGTTTGCTTTTACCTCTCTAAGCCTGATGATGTTCTCAAGATTCAAATCTACTCCTCCGATACAAGGAAATGGAAGATTTCCGATGAATCTCTCTCTTTTCCTGATCCTTTTTTGGCAGCCTTCCACTACATAGTTTATTGGAATCAAGCGATCCATTGGGCTCCCTACTGGGAAAATCAAACGTACTTTAAGATCGACACAGAAGAGTTGCAATCGCTGCCCATGCCGGTGGTGGTGGCGTCTTCTGAAAGTTATGAAAAGTGGGACATGCCCCTTTACTTTGGGGAGTCACGAGGCCATCTGCATATGGTGAAGAAACAGAGGGTCGATCATGGTGAGAGTCATATAAAGCTGAACGTGTTTGAGATATTGAACGATCATTCTGGGTGGTTTCTCAAGTACCAAGTGGACCTTGGCGAGCTTCGTGATGCTTACCCAGAGACGAGGGGTTACTGTAAGTGGATCCCATTTTATTACGATTTTGAAGTGTTTGATGTGGTTAGGGGTGAACATGAAGAAGAAGAAGAAACATTTATGGTGATCAGAGTTCCAGGGAAGGTCATAAGGTATAATGTTGTGGACAAGAGTTTCAAGCAGATATATGACCAGAACTACTTATATGGACGAAATGGACACATGCATGTTCATCGTTATATTGAATCGTTGGTGCCTTTTTAAAATGAATAGTAACGCCCCATTTGTGTATAACTTTCAAAATCCTATCTTCTTCGCTATTTCTTTATCAATAATCAAATACTTATGTGTTTTTAAATATAGGGAAAATGACTTACCAATGTAATTAACTTTTCGGTATGTTCACATATAGATAACTATCTTTTTCTTGTATATATCTAGATAACAAACTTGTTGGAAGTGTTCACATATGACCATTATGATCTGCTATAGCAGGTTAAATCCTAGATGTGAACACTTTCAACAAGTTCGTTACTTAGATGTGTACAAAATAAATAGTTACCCAAATATGAATAAAACGAAAAGTAAAAATAAATTACATGAATGGTCCCTGTGGTTTGGAGGAATTTGTGTTTTTGGTCCCTAACTTATTTTTTTAATTTGGATGGTCGTTACTTTTTATTTTTGTTGCGCGTTTGGTCCCTGCTTACCTAAAAAGACTATTTTGCCCTTATTAATTTATTTTTTAATTAATTTTCTTATTTATGTATTTATTTTTTATATATTTAAAAAAATTAGTAGACCTCACATATCTGTATCTCCTCACCATAAACCTCAAACCATTTTTGAGAAATTTAATTCAGATGATCCCTACTGTTTTTTTTGTTGCGCGTTTGGTCACTGTCTTACCTAAAAAGACCATTGTGCCCTTATTAATTTATTTTTTTAATTAATTTTCTTATTTATGTATTTATTTTTGATTTATTTAAAAAAATTAACAGACTCCACATATCTGTATCTCCTCACTATAAACCTGAAACCACGTTTGAGAAATTTAATTTGGGTCTTACCGGTCACCATCCCATCTCTCATCCTCCCCAACTTTTATTTCTTTTCCATCTCTAGTGACATCGACGTCTATTAATTTTTTTTAAATATATAAAGTATACATATATAATTAAAAAATAATAATAAAGGCACAATAGTCTTTTTAGGTAAGACAGAGACCAAACTCGTAACAAAATTAAACAGTAGGGATCATCCGAGTTAAAAAAGAAATTAATTAAAAAATAAACAGTAAAGATCATCCGAGGAGATACAAATATGTGGGGTCTATTAATTTTTTTTAATATGTAAAAAATAAATACATAAATAAGAAAATTAATTAAAAAATAAATTAATAAGGACACAATAGTCTTTTTAGATAAAACAGGGACCAAACACGCAATAAAAATAAACACTAGGGGCCATCCAAGTTAAAAAAATAAATTAGAGACAAAAAAAAACAAATTCCCCCAAACCACAGGGACCATTCGTGTAATTTACTTTTACTTTCGTTTTGTTCATATTTGGGTAACTATTTTTTTGTACACGTCTAGATAACGAACTTGTTGAAAGTGTTCACATCTAGGATTTAACCTGCTATAGCAGGTCATAATGGTCATATGTGAACACTTCCAACAAGTTTGTTACCTAGATATGTACAAAAAAAAGATAGTTACCTATATGTGAACATACCGAAAAGTTAATTACCTTGGTAAGTCATTTTCCCTTAAATATATATGCAAAGTTTTGTTTCTAACCAAATCAAACAGACAACATAACACAATTTTAGAAAAATCTTGAAACAGTAACTAAAGCAAAATAAATATTTGAAAATTTTAGAACTAATCACAAAACAAAACATAGTGTATGATGCTATTTTTGTTGAGATTTAAATTTATGTCATTATCTTTTGATTATTTCTTGTTGAACAAGATTATCGTTATCTTAGTATAGCTGGCTTCCTTATCTGATAAGGATACCTTGATTATAAAAGGCTCCCATTGTAATCGTATTTTTCATGAAAATAAGAATTTAGATTTGATCTTAGTTTTATTATGGTATCAGAGCAATACCTGGGAATACAATCCTAGTGCTCGATAAGAATAGCAGTTGGAGACAAGCCGGAGTCCTCCACAGGAGGAGACAAGTCGGTCCTTGACATATCTTCGCCTTACTTCCTCACAAATTCTGATCACCCGGGACAAAATTTTGTAGGAGAAAACCTCTTACGGGATAGGAATTATGGTGATTGGGAAAACGAGATGACTAATGCTCTTTTTGCCAAGAACAAGATAGGGTTCGTTGATGGAACTCTACTCATGCCATAGGAAGATTCTGCAGACTTAACCAACTGGAGGAGATGCAACACGATGGTGAGAGGATAGCTGGTGAGCTCCATGGAGAAAGAAATAAAGAGCAGTGTAAAATACGCTGCAACAGCTCGTGACATCTGGTTAGATCTGAAGGAGAGATTTGGAAAAGAAAATGCTCCACGAGCATATGAACTTCGACGTGCAGCCACTAACATACAACAAAACAGCTTGAGTGTATCCTCATATTACACGAAGTTAAGAGGTGTATGGGACGAAATTCAATCTATCAGCCAAATCCCATCTTGTTCATGTACCGGGTGCAAGTGTGAAATTAATAAGGAAATCGCCAAACTCCGGGATAAGGAACGTTTATACGACTTCCTTATGGGATTGAATGAAGAATTCAATGCAGTAAGAACTCAAATCCTCAGTAGCAGCCCACTTCCTACTTTAAATACTGCATATCACCTTGTCAGCCAAGACGAACAACAACGACAAATCGGCAATGCACGTAATACTAATTCAGAATCCTCAGCATTTCAAGCAGCAGGAAAATACAATCCTCGTCAATCTGGTAAAACTGGTTCATAGTTGAAAGCTAAACAAGATAATCGCAACAAAACTGTTAGGAATGAAGACAGATGGTGCACACATTGCCAAAAATCAGGACACGTGATAGATGGTTGTTTTGAGATTATTGGCTATCCAGAATGGTGGAACACAAAAACCACAAACTTGAAAAACCAAACAGAAAAAAAAGGGACGCAAGCTAAGGTTGCTGCTGTTACAGAAGATTCTGGTCACCAAACAATCATAAAGGAAGAGTACGCTAACCTTATGAAAATGCTAAAGGCTGCCAAAACAGTTGATGATCATCCCAAAGCTAACATGAGTGGTAAGATTAATTCCAAAGCCTACATGACTGATAAGAATGAAAACCAAACTTCTAGGATTATTGATTCAGGGGCCAGTGACCATATTACCCCTCATAAAGATTGGTTAAAAGCTGTCAAAACCAATCGACATAATTCTTCGGTCACCATTCCTAATGGTACATCTATACCAGTTAAACATGTTGGAAACATTCACTTGCCAAATGGGTTTGATCTGAAAAATGTGTTGAATATTCCAAATTTTAATTGTAACTTGTTATCTGTGAGTAAGCTTGCAAATGATTTGAACTGCTCACTAACTTTCTTACCAAAAACATGTTACATTCAGGACTTATGTTCGAGGAACCTGATTGGGACGGGTAAGGAACGTGGAGGACTGTATTACTTGGACTCATTCAAGGAGAGCAAGGTGGCTGTAGCAATTTTGAGCAAAGAGATGGTGTGACACAAAAGATTAGGTCATGCGTCAGAGGGAGTTTTACGAAAGTTACAACAAGTAGATGTAGGTAATTGTAACCAGTTTTGTGATTCTTGTCTTAGAGCAAAACAAACCAAACTTCCGTTTCCTATTAGTTTTTCCAAGAGTTATGAGATTTTTGAGTTAATACATGTTGACATTTGGGGTCCATATCGAAATGCTACTTTGAATGGAGAACATTATTTCTTGTCTATAGTAGATGATTACAGTAGAGGAGTTTGGGTTTATTTGATGAAAGAAAAATCTAAGGCAAGCTATTTTCTGAAATCCTTCTGTAATATGATAACTACACAATTTGATAAGAAAGTGAAAAGGATACGAACTGACAATGGTTTGGAATTCAACTCAAGAGTTATGCTTGAATTCTATAAAGAACGTGGCATACTTTTGGAAACATCTTGTCCCTATACACCAGAACAAAACGGCGTAGTAGAACGAAAACATAGACACCTCTTGGAAATGGGTTGTGACAACCGTCAAAATTCGAGTCGGTTCTAGATTTGACTAAACTTAGTTGCACGTATAGGCATGACACATACTAGACTTAGTAACTAGAATCTAAGTTATAACCTACTAGGAACTTGGAAACAATTAGAAACAATGGATAATGTACTTAGATTTCACATTAATATGTGAATTCTACAACTACTTAACTGTAGAGTCTATCCATATTCGGGTCACTCTTTGACTTGAACACCATTTCATTAATCATATACACCCATCTTGCACTTGACCTAGTAGTAGAAATTAGGTCATAGTCTCATAGAAACTTAAGTCAAAGTTGAAAACTAGGACTAGTATACTTGATTTCCTCAATTTCGCTTGAATCTCGAAACCACTACATAGAAATGTCAATAAGCCAATAAAATAAGTTATAAACATTATTATAACTATAAAAGAGTTACAATACCATAAGATAAATTTAAGTCTCAAAGATTCTATTGATTTTGATATCCAAAGATTTACAAACTCTCAAAAACCCTAAATGCCCTAAAAACCTAAATTTATGAAATTTGACCTTAAAAATTCTATAAAAATAGTTATAAACCTCATAATATGATCTTATAATAATTAAAATTATAAAAATGCATTCATGGAAAATAAAATTTAACTCATTAACATTTACCCTTAATTTATAAATCAAAAATTAAGGTTTTATGAATAAAAACTTGATTTTTAGTGCACATTTTATATAAAAATTTAGATATTTTATAAAAGAACTTAAATTTTATAAAAGAAAATGAATGAGAAATGGGTATTATACTCAAAAATTCGGATCCCTCTCTCCCCATATCTCTCTCACACTCTCATTCTCCAACACACACACATCTCTCTTCTTTCTCTCTCTAGAAAACTCTCTCTACCTTCTCTCTAATTTTTTTCTCCAAACACCACTCCATTCTCTCTTCCTCCCTCTAAGAACCACGAAATTTTCCAGAAAACAAACCCAAGAACACTCCTCAAACTCGAAATCTTCATCATCTTGTGGTGTTCTTGAAGGTAAAAATCGATTTCTACTTCACTTTTCCTTCAAGT